ACATGCTTCTTAGATGAAGAAAAGCGATTGCCTATGTAAGATTGAAGATACTTTGCAACTGTCATCTTATCGAGATGTGCTAGATAGAGATAGCCTTTGGTTTCGCGGCCCTGCCTACACACAGCTGTCTATAGTGTGAACCTTGGCGAAGTCTGAGTCCGGAAAAGTCGTCGATCAACGCTCCTATGACTCGAAGAGACCGCCCTAATGCCACCTACAATACACGGCCAAGATTAGCACAGATGGGAGGTAGGGGGATGAACATCGCGAGAGAAGAATATCCCGCTGTTAGCCCGTTCAATTCCTTCCCTTACTCTTCCTAGCAAGTTGTGGACAGATGCCATAAGGGCCAAAGGGGTACAAGGTCTGCTGAACGGCCTAGGGCCGAGCCTCTGAGACACCAGCAATTGTTGTCTCCTCCGCGAGTGTGCTTACTGTCTACCAAGGTACCTTGTTGTCCGAGATGGTAGGGTGCCAAAGCGAGTTGGGGATGAAGAGGCGGAAATAGGCATAATGCATAATTGGCAACTGACGGGGTAATAGAATAAAATCATGAAAAGTAAGCATGCTCTGAAGCGGGAAGAAAAAGAGAAAGGAAGGGCAAAAGAACAATCGGAAAAGAAAGAAAAAGAAAACAGACCCAAGCGATTCATGTTACAAGAGCAACAAGAAGATTGTAGAAAACCTGCCACCGTTGAAAAGGAGAAAGGGCAATCCGGCCAGACTAACAAGGAAATGAAGAAATCCCAAACTTACCTCACAAGGAAGGCACCGCTGACGCGCTGAGCTCGAAAGAAAAGGGGAAGCAAAGGGAATAGAACCAAATACAATACTCGAGCACAAACATCCATTTTTACCGATCGCTGCTGTTCAAGTTCCCAACAGCGCTTAGGACACACTCCCACCAGGAATCAATGGCACGATAGTATAAAGAACCTAGCAGCAACGTGGCTAGCCCTACCGCGGGCACGGCCCCTGGCACTGGCTATTTCTTTTGCTCTGCCCCTTCCCCCAAAACTTACTATATAGCAACAGCCCTTTTTCTTGTCTGCTGGGAAAATAAAGTCGAGCTAGATTCCGAAGTGGGTGATGGACCATCAGGCGTGTATACAATGACGAGTTTGGACGTTGACCCCGCTGATGTGACCACGGAGGATCGACAGACCGGACTACGTCCGCGACGGCTAACGGACTCGCAGCCAATATATCAGCCGTCACCGAGCCCATCCATGGGTGTTTGCCAGGTTGGGTTGGAAGATGAAACCATGTAATGTGGGCTTTCCGGACCAACAGAGCGGATATGGAACGATGATCCAAGTGGTGCTCGTCGTAGAGTTGGGACTAGTCGAAACCTGTTGGGTGGCTCATCTCAAATCGGTGTCGATGTCGCCCATTCGTTGATCTAATTCTGGCCTTCCCATCTCCCCAATTCATCCAAATCAATTCAGCGTTGAACTCTGGATAGAACCACGTGGTTTTGTACCCGCTCCAAGGTTCCCGAGTTTCTTTCCTTCTTCTCATTGTTCCATGTTAGACTTTGAGTCCTCTATTTAATATGTTATTGTTTTGCCGTTTCGCGCATTTTACTTTCCTTCTTCCCCTTCTGGCTCCCTCCCCGGAATAGAGATCGAGGGTCCAACGTTTGTAGCCCGAGTCATAGAAGCCATGTGGCTGAATAAGCTGCCTCGATACCTCATGTCTGGTTCACCTTAATATCCGTGAGGTGGAGTGGTAAGGAGCACGTTTTTGAGAGGTAATACAAGAGATGAGGGCGAGCCGCAGAAATGGCGGTACCTTGTCCGCCCGTGAATCATGTCTAGCGACATAATCACACAAATAGGAAGATATGAAGGACCAAAAAAGGAAGAAGATAAAAGGGAAGAGACTGTAAGCACTTGTATCAGTTACACCAACAAGGTCGAGTGGATTGCTGTGGCGGCCTGGGGCAGAAATAGGAAGAGCCAGGGAAGGAAGGGAAGAATGAGCAAGAAGTTCAACTTGCGGCTCTAAAAATCACATTGTCACCTCACCCGCTCCCGCCCACCCGCAGGCCCCCTGTGCGTGTGAGGCTCCCACGACGGAACACTGGCGTGCCGGGCATAAATTGTCAGCGCGGGGTCTTTCGCGATACAAGATACTTTGGGTGTAAGTGGGATATTTTGTCAATGGTGGAGAATGCCAATAGCCAAACGCTTCCCCCATCAGAAGAAAAAGAAAAAGAACACAAAAAGCGGCCTTTTGAGTAAGTGGATTGGGGAGTACAAGAGTTAAGAAGAAAAAAATTAGTAAAAGAAGAAAGTGTAGAAAAACAAAAACCTGAAAAAAAAAAAGAAACAAAACTAGCATGTTAGGAGGGAGATGACACCAGAATATCCGGCCGTCCACACAGCGAACAAGGTTGTCTCTCGACAAGCGTCCCCCATTTCTAATTCCAGCAGAATTAATATCACCGAGAACTGCTTGGCTGACCTCTTTGCCCCTCTTCCTTCTTTTACGCATTGATTCCCTATCCAATCTTCAGGAACCTCGCGCAGCACTACTCACGTAAAGGGATTGTGGAATGCGTCCATCACCGCAGCGCGTGCACGCCCTCCTTCGCCTTCCCCCTCCAGCACCTGTTCGCCCGCGTTCCCATCACGGGACACCAGGCTGTTCCTGCAGCATATGCACGCTCTGCTGTCCAGCTATCTATTAACCCACCCAACCCTTCCCTGTTTGCCCATGACACGTCGAGATGGGAAGGGTTCCATCATCGAGCATAGGGAGGGAAGATGGGGGAGGAGTGATTAAATCTATGAAAGCCCTCGCCCCTAGTCTATCCTACCTCCGGCACAGGCAAGTTACTTCTCTGCCGCTTATATGCTGGGGGAAACATCAACTGGGGGAAAGACCGAACAAATTTTGGGGATGAGAATTGAAAACACAACGCAAATCGAAAGCAACATGATCGGTGGCACAAGTAGCTAGAGAAATATGCACAGAAAGACAGCCCTCCCACCCGTAGACATAGTACCTCATCATCCGAACTTTGAACGGAGCGAAAGTAGACGTCCTCGTAGTGGCCAATGTATAGTATATGATGTAGCCCTAGCATCAATTGTACTCCTGCCTCTCTCAAAAACCAGCCCCGCACACTGGTAGCGACTGCCCAACTCATCTCCTTAAAGATGCCTTTATCCAATCAATCCTTGGCCTTACATCAAGTACCCCTAGATCCAGCATCACCCGCCAGGCGCCGTCCACCCTTACGTCTGTTTCTCTGACCTCTTCATGTGGGTAGCACTTGCCAAGGAAATTGGCAGCCTTTAAGTATGCACTTTTATAATAATAAGTACATGGCTATGCTTCAATGGTCTATATCCATATATACAGACACGAAGACATAATTTCACTGATATTCACCCCGACGGCCGTCATTCGACGAATTCGCCCTTTTTCGCTTGGGACATGTACATCTATCAGAGTATCTGAGGCGAGGAACTGGGAGGAGCTGCGTGAGCAGATCCGCATAATCATCTTACCCATTTCCTGGCTCAATCTGCCCTCCCACTCCGGCTGCCACTCCTGATTACCCTGCAAAAGAGCTGGATAGACTCTGGGGAAACAGCACGAGCAGTATAACCGCATCTGCGATTCTTTGAGGTGCTTCCCTTCACCCACTAAATCTAGGCGGAGCTGACCTACCCAGACGTACTTGTATACTACCGTCCCACCATCCTTCAATCCGCGTCCCGTTTTCTCCCCACCCCAGGCCCAGGGTTAGCATATGACGCCCCAATTTAGGACAATGCAAAGAGAATACAAAAGACAAGTCGGAGTAAACAGGCGGAAATAGGGAAGAGTGGGAGGAATCGAGAAGATGAAAAGGGTGGGATTGGTGGGCGGCGCGGCTTCTTCCTTGGTAAGGGGCCATCATTCACCAAGATGTGACTGGATGGAATAACAGCGACGCCTATAAATTGACCGAAGGATGAACCAAAGTGTTTGGCGAAAAGTAAATGGTATCAGTGCATCATATTGAGGTATCTTTCGGTTATTAGTTATGTATGGGTCTACTTTTCTGGTTCAATCATAAATGACTTCGTCTCCAACCCAGCGGAGAACCCGAAGAAGCGTCAATGACAAAAAAAAAAAAAGAAGGAAGAAAAGAGAAAGGCAAAATGAGAAACAGAGAGAAGGTCAGAATACATGGATGGATGCAACAAACAGGAAACAGGCCAGCGCTCTGTTCTGTTGAGGGTGAATAACCCGTCAAAGCATCGATGGGTGGCTACCCTCTTCCAACCCCGAGTCCTTGATCTTTCTGTCACCGATACATTGATCGGTCCACTGATCTCCTGTTACCAGAGCATCGTTGCCCGTCTCGTCTCATATCGTCACACCGCGAAGAGAGGCTCCCTCAATGTTCTCCCGCATATTCTCTCCGCCCTCTTCGCTGCTTCGCCGCGTCTCTCTCCATGACTTGTAGCCGGAGGAGCGTTCGCCTCGCGCCCCCTGCCGTTTTCAAGACCCGTGCTTCCCGTATAGTAACAAACATAGGAGATAATAATGCCATGGTGCGGACTAGTGAAAGGATCCGCATCCATATGAAACCGATGCCACGAGGAAAGGGGGCCCGGGTCTAGAAGATCATTCCCACGTGGCCGCAAACACCCATTTCCGTGCAAATCTATATAATTCCCTCCCATTATTCTTATGCCGATAAGATATCAATATAATAACAAACCCGAGTGGTAGCGTAATAAGTGAGGACCGAAATGAAAGAACAAGTTCTTTTTTCTTTCTGTTGGGCAGGCCAATAGGAAAATGTGGAACCGATGGCGGGTCCCGCGATTGCCCTCAGCCAAAGATCCGGTCACGACGGATCGAGGGAATGCAATGCGTCAAAACCGAAAAAGAAAAGAAAACCCCCTAAAGTCGGCAGGTGGTCGACGGGGTTGTGAATCACTTTGGATGGTGTCGTGTGGCGTGGCACATTAGCGTCGCAAGATTCTTAACGCTTAGATGCTCCCTCGCTTCACATGGCCGCTCCGCTGTCGCTTGATCCTAAGATCGTCGTGAAAGGTTCCTGTTTCGCCGTCGCTGAGGGTCGCCGCTCCGGCCGCTACCGAGGGCATCTTGTTTTCCGTCGTGGTGCGAGCCGAGTTGGCTGCGTCTGACTCCGCACGCGCGTTATTGATCATCGTAGGGAGTTGACGCCGTCGTGCGTTGATGAACCAGTTGGAAATTTGGTCTAAAAAGAAACCTTGTTAGAGAATGGTCTCAAGTGCGTTAAATTCCAGGGCGGTACTTACTCATCTGTAGTCCAGTCTGCCTCATGAGGTCCTGCTTTTCGTCTTCTGTAGGATAAGGGTGGTGTAGGTGGGCCACGAACCATGCCCTCAACTTGTCTGTCGTTTCCTTTGGTAGGTTGCCACGCCTCTTTCGCTGCTTAGCGTCTCCCATCACGCCTTGTGGGCCTACGTCGCCATAACGGACAAAGTCGTGGTAGTGGTGCGGAGGGTACCCAGCAGCTGCGTATGTAGGCCTGTCGTAAGGGTTGGATCCCACCGAGAGTGACTGGACCCTGGAAGGGTGGTGATACTGGTAGGTGAAAGGGTTGTGCCGGAACTGCGTTGGGTGTTCGAGTGCTGGCCCAGCAGAAAGCGGAACTGGTGGCCTCTGGGTTTGGGGGCTGGGTAGTCGTCCTGCGACACTCGAGACATCGGTTGCTGTTGCTCTCTCTCGTAAGCCAGGTTGGAGAGGCCGAGACTCGGGAGGGTTGGCCTTCGCTCCCGTAACCTTTCGGAGCCATCGATGGCCATGGGGAGCGGATCGAAGGCATTGCCCCGCTAGGGAGGAAGGGGCTTGTCCTGGCCGAACCAGCCCAAGCCTCTGAGGCGGGTGTCCGCGGTGGCACAGTAGGCGACGCTTGTCTTGCCGCGGAAACTGAAGACTGGCACGAGTAGAGCCTGGGCACTCTGCTTGCCCTTTCGCTGCTGGCCGCATCCTCGATAGAGTACCGCCTGCGCTTGTTAGAATTGGGAGAGTGAATGTACTCAGGAGGGGTTAGGGCATTAGAAAGAGCTGTTGTAGGTGATGTGGTGGCTGATGGGGTCCTAGCCAGCGAGTCTTGTGGTGAAGGGATCCTGAGTTGCAACTCGGGGAAGGCCTAACTCAGGGCGTGTTAGCATACGATTCTAGATCTCCCGATCTCCCTCTTTGTAGAGAGAAGATACTGCGAGGCGTCCACGAGCCTGTGGCACGGATTTCCGTGTCCACAAACAGCAAGGACGATGCTCGCCATTTCCGCTCTTGCCTACGTACCTGTCGAATTGAAGGCAACGCAATCCTCTCGGGTTGACGAGGGGGTTGTCGGCTAGCGTCCGAGGGCCATCCCAGGGATAGTCGCGAGGGAAGGAGGAGTGAGGTGCTGGCGCGGCCATGGCGATCATAGACATCTTGTAAACGAAATCACGCCCCTACGGAGACGAAACGAGCTGACTGGAACAAGGCGGTTATTGCTTGATGTGAGTGAAAGTTGAAGGCGATGACGATGGGAGGACGTTGGGAGCCAGTCCAAGGTCCAATTGTGAGAATCTCGCGGGCTTTGACGGATGATGGGTAGAGCTGATGCGCTTCTTCCGGCCCAAGAGCGTTATCCGAATCGTAAATCAAGTGCTTGGTGTTGAGAGTGACTGCTGCGATGAGGTTGGACTTGACACCCAATCGAATGAGTGCCGGGCCAAGATGGTGATATATAGATGCAGAGGACTCAGGTCAAGAGCCAACGATGGCGGCGGGCCGGGGATATATATACATATATAAATAGATGTCTGTTCCAGGAAGGTATGTACCGAAGCAAGGAGTCAAGTGCCCAGGGTACCTGGTGAAGGTAATCAAGGAGAGGTCCAAGTATCTGTGGTGTGGAAAGTACTGGGTGTATATGTGTTGGGGGAGGGGGTGGATGTGCGCTGCTGTAGCGTATCCAAGGGGTTGGAGAGGAGCGGAAAAGAGCAAAGAAGAGTCCTTCTAATGTACAAGCCAGCAATGGTCTCTGCGTTGAAAGGTTGAACTCTGAGGACGGGAAGCAAGAAATCGAGGACACAGGCGCAAAAGTGTGGGGAGGACAAAGGTTGAAGTAGATGGGACCAGGATGCACAAGTGCTTGTGCCTAAATGGGAAGCCAAGCCATTGAGGTCTGTGTTCTGTGTCGGTCCCTAAGCTTTTGACTTCAGGTTGTTTTGGTGTCTCTTTTGGCTTTCCAATGGGCAAAGGTAGTGGAGAAAGTACTGGGGAGTAGTGGAGTCTGGAGCGTACTGTCGCAGTTGCAATCGCCATCAGGAATCGAGGGTCACTGTGTCGAGGAAACTTGGAAAGAGAGGAAGAGAGGCGGCGCCGAGATGGGGGGGCGTGGACAGAGGAGCAGGGAGGGGGTGTTGCTGTTGCGGCTAGGGATCACAGGGCGAAGGGCGAAGAAAAGAGGTGTGTGCTTGTAAATTGTGTATTGGATCGGGCCATGGTCCTCATGTGGAGGAGTTGCGTAGTGCACTGGAGGGTACAAGACAGGCCCCAGGTTCAAACCCAGACCTTGAACGGAGTGTGAGTCCTGCAAGCAGTCCGGGGTGGGTGGATGGATTTAGGTGGGGGGGTTAAGGTAAGAGAGCCGGACGATTTCTCTTGACCTGTAAATAAAAAAAACATGGGCTCCTCGTTGTGTAGGAGGCTGCCTTCATTGACAAATCCTAGCGGCAACGCACACGCCAGACTAGCCCAAGTGGCGTCTACGAACGAAAGAGTGCAAAGCGTTGAAACCGGAGCATGGCGGCGTGAAGGCAAAGCCCCAAACACTTTTGCTGAAGCGGCTATCCCTTATCCTTGCTTTGAAATGTAGCTCTTTAGTAATGAAGAAATAGGGCCTGGTGGGATTGGGAGGGAGACATGGAGTGAGGCAATGTGGAGATTTTGCGAGGAGTGCGAGGAGTCTCAGTGTGGAAAGGTACTCCGGCCGGTTGTGGTAACCAACTACTTGTATGGTGTTCCAGGGGTCAAATCCGTGAAGACGATGCGATGGGCAATGAGAAGAGACGGAGTAGATGTGCACTGGGAAGCGGCCTTTCCTCGACCAAACCAAACAGAGCCACACATAAAGGATAAAAAGCAATAAACCAGAGTGGGCTCATATCAACAAATCGCGGCAAAGGGGAGAGGGAGATCCAAGGGTGTTTGCTTTCCGCGAAGTCTGTGGCCAGGTCTTTCCTCGAACACCGTTGGAATCCCGAGAGCATGGGGGATCCATGGAATTGACTTGAACCGGGGAGGGGTGGAAGGGCGGCGTGGTGTGGGTGTAGGTCAGGTGTAGGCGTCTTGGCCAAATAAGGGAAGGGTGGGATGATGAAGAGAAAAGGAAAAAAAAAAAAAATGAAGAAAAAGGGAAAAAGAAAACGGGAAAAGGAAAAAGAAAACGGGGGAAAAGGAAAAGAAAAAGAAAAAGAAAACGACCAATTGTCATTGCGGCTGGCAGCCACGGGAAGAACTGGCTCGACCAACCCAGCCTAGGAGAAGAGAAACATCAATCCATCCGCCAATCTACTCTCATGTCGGGAGGTGATGTGCATGTGTGTGTGTAGCACAGAATACGCTTCGCTTTGTCTCTGGTTCCTTGAACAAGGCCCACGTCGATGATCCAGACAATTCCTAGCCAGGTCACCACCAAGACAGGCCAAATTGCTGCAACTTCTTTGTCCCAGTCATCTTAGCAATGGAGCTAGGGTCGTTGAAATTGGGGACGAGCGAGGACAGCGAAACACGCAATGTTCTATCTTCAACTCAAGGAGAAGAACAATAAGAAAGAAAAAAAGTACCGCCCCATTCCATTCATGCAATAAGACTACAAGATGGGGGCTCTGTGATGACTTGTGTCAATGACCTGAGCTCATGGTCTTGCCTCAATGCACTGGCAAGTATTATTCAACCTAATACAAGCACACTCACAGTAGCCTGGATGAAGATCGAAGAGGGGCCCGAGGCACACTTGGGACTAGGACAGAGAGAGGAAATGTGCCAGCGTGTGTGAGTGAGTGAGCCCCGGAAGAGGTGAAGGGAAATCGAGAGTGCCAAGACTAGATGCTAGCGGCCAATTTTGGGTTGCAGTGCAGTGTTGATGGACAGAAGAAGTGACATTTGGATATGCACCCATTCTTTCCTAGCAAGTCTCTTGTCAGCTTCACAGGTTGAGGAGCAAAGAGCGAGGCCGCCCGCACCTGCGGGTTGACACTAAAAAGAGCCTTCTCGCGCTGAACCACTGCAGGCGTTAATGCGATCCCCGGTCGCGCCGAGCAGTAGTGTCGAGTAAAAAAGGAAATACGGGATCTCAAGGGGCTTCTAGAAATGAAGGAGGGCGGAATCCGCAACGCGCGAGGGAGGCGTGCAAGCACAGATGGAGGTTCCGCCAGCGTATTCGTGGATTCTCGTATGTTGTATAATATAATGGCTCAATCGGGGGCTGTCTGGAAAAGGAAACAGCCGCAAGGTAATTATCCAGTTGTCTGGATATATCCATAGATGCGATTCTACACCCGCGCCTGTTGAATGGAGATAATAGGCCCCCATCCGAAACGGACGCGAGGCAAGAGGCTGTGGGGTTGGCGGGCTGCTTCTGGTTGTTTTGTGCTCAAGCTGGCATCAAGCTGGCATCAATGGAGGACCGTCAGCTCACCCCAGCACCAGCACCAGCACCGGGCAATTTGCTAGGCATGTGTGGGGCTCCGACCACGATGGTGATGGCGCTGGCGCTGGAGAATTCCCCGAGGAGTTGAGGATGGAGGATGTATCAAGAGCCTCGAAGAAACACGATGTATTGATATTTCAAACTAATCCATAATGAAGTGGGGCCCAACTGCATCCACTATGAGCGAAAGGGAAGCTGCGATCACCACTGGCGTCGCAAGTGCAAAGTCTCATGTACTATTTACAGGGAACTAGGCTCAAATTCTCGACAGCAGACTTGAGGAAATGAGCAGGAGGAAACAATCCCCTCGCGGCGGAAAACAAAACGCAGTCGGTGGGAAAGGCGAAAGAGACAGGAAGAGAAAGAAGGGGAAGCAAGGAAAGAGAAAAAAAGAAAAAGAAAAAGAATAACCCTCGGCTCTCCGCTGCTCGCCCATGCTCTAAAGAAGCTATCACGTCACGGCTTCCGTTCCGCTGTCTCCCTTCACCCGTGATGCCCCTTTCAGAACCCGTGCATATCATTCTATGTGCGAGGTTACAGCGGACCGACGCTGGCCTGGCAGGTCGCGCGTCAAGCCCAGATGGTGCCTCGGCGTTCAAATGCAGGAGAAGCCAGACAGGAATTGCAAGGATACGACGTCTGGTGAGATCCACTGCGCAGGATTGTGCGGGTGCGACTGCGAGGGGACAGCGCCTGCGGCAAGGTGCAAGGTGGAGGGAAGGGATCGATCATTGAATTGCCCAGGTTGCCAAGTATCAATTGATACAAAGTGTTAGTGTGCGATACCCCGACCATCCCCGACAAGGGCTGCGTGGACAGGGGCCGCCAAGGTCGGGGCGATGGAGATCCTGCCCCGAAGGAACGACACTCGATCTGGTCTGCTATGACTCTTTGAGCTGTTCCCTTTTCGGAAAGTTCAATGTTGGACAGTTGAGAATGATACCTCAAAGCACCCGGACTGTAGCCTCGCCAGCTTGAGAGGTGTCAATGAAGGGTTGGCACCCATGGCAGCAGCTCTCAGCGAGCAAAGCCCTCAGCCCAAAGCAATACCTGTACAACTAGAGTCAATATCACCAACCCTGGAGCACCATTTGGATATAGTCTCAATGCGACAACATCCCATCGAAAGAGCGCGAAGCGTAAAGCGTAAAGCGTGAAGCGTGAAGCGTGAGGGAGGGGTGGCGGGGGTTTGCAAATAATTGACACCATGACACATTCCTCCGCGGACTTGACAAAAGTGCAAACCAAGGCGCTATCCAAAGCCCGATCGTGACGGTCAACATCGGGGTTAAGGGAGGCTGCTGGTTCGCCCGTCCCGAAATATCAGTGCGTTTAGCGTTGAGGCCAATCGCCGCGTGCTCCTCCGGTCACCTTCCCACCTTGCCAGCGCGCTTTCGCTCCTGGACTAGTCTGTAACAGGCGGCGAAGGGAGAGGCAAGTGTCGAGCGTTGAAATTCTGCGAACAGACACGGATCTCGACCGGAAGGTGGACCGAGCCATTTTGCAAGTGCGACCCTGCTGCATATCTTGATACTCGTCACTCCGTTACACTGTGACAACCTGGCAGTTGGCTGCATCAATTCGGGTGGAGTTGATCATTGTGATAATCTCTCTTAGTGCGCAAGCTAGTCAGTCCACGTCGGCCACTTCCTTATGCACCATCCACTTCAGCAACGAAGGATAATATCTTGGGAGTCCGACTTTTTGTTTGATTGA